TGAAGTCGGACGCATGGCCCTGAGTTTGATTCCACCTTCAGACTTCTTTGAGTGGAGTTTGCATGTTCTCCCTGTTTAAGTTTCCTCCGGTTCCCTCTACTACTATAACCTGGTCTTACCAAACCGTCAAAGCTCATTTCATTTTGTAACAAGGTCTGGTTTGCACTATTGAGCTTCATAAACAGGTGGGAGGGGTTAACTTCTTTTGCAGATTAACACAAGGCATTCAGCATTTAGCCTAGCTTTAGCATTTAGCTTTTAGCCTAGCTTTAGCATGTAGCCTAGCTTTAGCCATCTCCTTTGCCACTAACGGAGCCCGTGGGGAGTAGGGCCACAACATCTTTGCTTCAATGACATTTACTAAACATTCCTCTTGCTCCGGCTTCAGTTTCTTGATATTTGGATTGAACCAGAACAGATTATTTTACTATCACATTCTCCGACAAACTACAACCAGCAAATTCAGCACAAACTCTTGACGTCACCGACACCGACCTACAACACCCGCCTCCCCCGCTCTCTGATTGGTCGGAGGGGATTTGAGGAAACTGCAGGCATAAATAACATTTAAAATATAAAATGTAATAGTTTCACACATAAATCCGGCCGAACTTTGACAAAAACTGTGACACATAATCAAGATGATCAAGAAAAAAGCATTTCTTCATTGTATAAAATATGTAATCTATGCATTAAAATAGTGTTTCTTTTGATGTTTAGGCCCGACCCCAGGGACAGACCCGGCCCCAGGGACAGACCCGGCCCCAGGGACAGACCCGGCCCCAGGCACAGACCCGGCCCCAGGGACAGACCCGGCCGCAGGGACAGACCCGGCCCCAGGGACAGACCCGACCCCAGGGACAGACCCGACCCCAGGGACAGACCCGGCCCCAGGGACAGACCCGGCCCCAGGGACAGACCCGACCCCAGGGACAGACCCGGCCCCAGGCACAGACCCGGCCCCAGGGACAGACCCGACCCCAGGGACAGACCCGACCCCAGGGACAGACCCGGCCCCAGGGACAGACCCGGCCCCAGGGACAGACCCGGCCCCAGAGACAGACCCGGCCCCAGGGACAGACCCGGCCCCAGGGACAGACCCGGCCCCAGGGACAGACCCGGCCCCAGGGACAGACCCGGCCCCAGGGACAGACCCGGCCCCAGGGACAGACCCGACCCCAGGGACAGACCCGACCCCAGAGACAGACCCGACCCCAGAGACAGACCCGGTCCCAGGGACAGACCCGGCCCCAGGGACAGACCCGGCCCCAGGGACAGACCCGGTCCCAGGGACAGACCCGGCCCCAGGGACAGACCCGGCCCCAGGGACAGACCCGGCCCCAGAGACAGACCCGGCCCCAGAGACAGACCCGGCCCCAGAGACAGACCCGACCCCAGGGACAGACCCGGCCCCAGGGACAGACCCGGCCCCAGGGACAGACCCGGCCGCAGGGACAGACCCGGCCCCAGAGACAGACCCGACCCCAGGGACAGACCCGGTCCCAGGGACAGACCCGGCCCCAGGGACAGACCCGGCCCCAGGGACAGACCCGGCCCCAGGGACAGACCCGGCCCCAGGGACAGACCCGGCCGCAGGGACAGACCCGGCCCCAGGGACAGACCCGGCCCCAGGGACAGACCCAACCCCAGGCACAGACCCGACCCCAGGGACAGACCCGACCCCAGACACAGACCCGGCCCCAGAGACAGACCCAACCCCAGGCACAGACCCGACCCCAGGGACAGACCCGACCCCAGGCACAGACCCGACCCACGACGATGTTTTTAATGAAATGATCTTCAATAATCACTGTTACATTCACTTGAAGCATTGGATAGAAATGGCTGCTATGGCATGTTATACTTGATTTTAAATTATAGGAGGACTTTCCCAATGATGATCCAGGACATAAATATTTATTATTTTTTTTTAATTGTAATTTATTGTATTCCACACCAAGTAGAGAGGTAACAGTTCAAAATAAAACAAGAATACAAAAGTAAATACATTTTATCCCTCCCCCCTCCCACTTCCCACCCCCCACCCACTTCCCACCCCCCTCCCACTTCCCACCCCCCACCCACTTCCCACCCCCCAAGATGTCCTGCGACAGGTTTTACCCAAGGCTACAAGCAGTAAAACAAGAACAAAACACAAAACAAAATATCCAAATAATGATAGTAATAATACAATTTTGGATTAGGTTCCTTAACATGAAAAAAAAAAAAAAAAAAAAAAAATAAGTTAAAGAAAAAAAGAAAAAAAAAGTAGACACAAGAAAATGAATAAATACAAAAATAATATTCTTCTTACAATGTTCTTAGATTTAATAGATATATAATAATGTTATTCCAAATCTTAATAAAAGTTTCAGGTTTACCACTTATGTTATATTTGATCTTTTCAAGTTCCATGAACATCATCATATCTTTAAGCCATGTGGATACTTTCGGAGCTGTTGTTGATTTCCATTCTAGAACAATTCTTCTACGTGCGAGTAGTGTTGCAAATGCAATGCTCTTCTGATGGGTCTTTTGGCTCTCAGGTAAGACACCAAAGATTGCTAGTTCAGCACATGGTAGTAGTGATATGTTTAAGGACTCTGACAGATGTTTACTGATCATGGTCCAGTAGTACTGGAGATGTGGACAGGACCATATCATGTGAGACATATTTGCCGGAGACATGTTGCACCTGTTACAGCTATCACTTACATTTGGGTACATTTTTGAAAGTTTATGGTTGGTGAGGTACAGTCTGTGGACAATTTTAAATTGAATTAGGTTAAGCCGGCTACAGGATGTGCTGTCATTTACCAGCGTTAAGGCATTAGACCAATCTTCCACACTCATTGTCCTTTTCCCATTGTGTTTTCATTTTTTCCAGAGATCCCGTAGTAGCCCTTGAAATTACACAATTAAGTTTTGAGATGAGCCCCTTTTTGATAGGTGGGACATCCAAAATAAAATCAGTTATTGTAGGGGAAGGGGCATTAGGAAAGGTTTGGAAATTTAATTTAACAAAGTTTCGGACTTGAAAGTATCTAAACAAATGAGATTTTGGAAGTTTGTGTTTTTCGCAGATCTCATTAAAATTAACAAAAATGTTTTTAATGTAGAGGTCTTTTACTCTGATCAGGCCAAGTTTGTGCCAGGTAGAATAGCCTCCATCTGAATTTGGGGTGGAGAAAGCATAGTTATTACAGATAGGGCTATGAATAGACCTGTCCTGGGAATGTAATGTGCGTCTGAACTGATACCAGATCTTTAATGTGGATGCAACCACTGGATTAGAAGTGAATTGGTTGATGTTAACAGGCATTTTGGATGTAACTAGTGCCATTAAAGAGGTGGAGCAGGATTTGGCTTCTAGTTCACACAAACTCAATGATTGATCTTGCATCCACATTAGTATTTGTGTGAAGTTGGCACTCCAGTAATAGTGTTTTAAGTTTGGGAGCGCTAAACTATAGATATTTATAATACTTTATAGACATTGGTCTCTGCCTTTTATGGACAATGGTTCTGTGTATTTTGCATTTCTTGTGTTGATTCTCTGATCTGTTGTTGGCGAATTCAACGGTTTTGTATAATCGGAGATAACTGGTGTGATTTAGGGCGATACAAGAATGCGTTGAATTGAAGAGAACACAGGAGCCATTGGTCCACAGTGAACGGATCTCCACATGTCCTTAGACCAGTAGCTCGCCAGCCCCTGTCAGTAGCTCGCCAAACGATATATAGATTACATAATAGTCCCGAACAGCCCAACACGTCGTGCACTCCTTCCAATTCCACCCAATTTCGATGAAGATGAAGCTAGAGAGCGATGCAAACTATATGCAGTCGTGCCAAACATGAACAAAAACTAACGACAAAACCGGAACAGTATCAAACATCCCATAATACAGTTAAAACCCTAAATATAATACATTAGAAAAGATAAAAGCCACCCACCATGAATTCATTCAGATCATTAAGCACATATTCTATCACGATAGGCGAGTACTGACTGGGGTGGCGAGTCCAGGTCTACGGCCCCGGAGGCGACCGAACACAGAGGACCATGGGCTCTGTGTTCTCTTCAATCAACGCAAACAAGACACGCCTAACTATCCCCCGTTCTCTCCGACATAATACCACACACTCCGTACCCCCCCAGAAGCCTTCGCCCCCAACAGAACCGCGCACATACCACCCCCGCCAAGAAATAACGAGAACCATTGGATCAATAAAAGGCGTATGACGGACCATGATCTCTAAAGAAAAATAACTCTCAATCTATCGCGCACCCCAACCTTAAACCCCCAATTATGGACGTGCCCACTACACACACATACTCATGAGGATGCACGGAACAACAAGAGTTTGTGATGACCAGAAGCCCAAACTGCTCCCCCACATTAATGCACCTAGTTAACACATCCAAACATGCTGGAAAACATCCAACCAATTCAACATCTATCCGTGGAAGTCCCACATTAAACTTCTGGACACCCGTATCCGGACGCACATACCTTATCCCAGGAAGGACTTAACAAAGCCTATCTGTAACATCACCACAGCCTTTCTCCCCCAAATACCGATGGAGGCCTCAGACAACCCCAGGCCACACACAAGTTCCTGATCAGCGTAAAAGACCTCACCCATACAACATATGTTAAATATAATGAGAACAGCGAAAAACACAACTACCCACATCTCCATAGATTAGATACTATCCCCGTCCGAACCTATGTTACATTACATTCACCCACCTGTATCCAACTGCCCTTTCCCCTACACATAACCTGAATTTTATATGGATTGACCACCCTATCCCACGGGGGGGCATCCATACAACCATACTTGTGTAATACCAGGGCACCTACGGGCATCTCTGGCACCAATATGAAACCACCAAGGGGAAAGGACAATGATTGTGGAAGATTGGTCAAATGCCATCACGTGGTAACAGACAGCCACATCTGATCGCCGGACTTACCTAAATCCATAAACACATGATCACAGGGAACTGTTTACCTACACCACCATCCCCTTACAAAAACGACCCCAACAGTAACGTCGATCGCGAGTACAGGAGCAACATGTCTCGGCCAACTCTGACTACAGAAATGGTCTGTCCCACTCTCCAGTACACCTGGACATGGCTCCAGTCCCACATCAGTCAGGAGTATACAATATCCAACTACCCCATTGCCCAGAACATGTCAAACTATAGGAGTCTTACCTGAGAGCCACCGAGCCCCATCAGAAGAGCACTTGCATTTGCAACACTCTGCCCGAAGAAGAATAAGTTCAAGAATGGAACATCAACCACAGCTCCGCCAGTATCACCTGGCAATAACGATAGGATGCTGATCATGGCAATGACAAAAGATCCAAATCAACACACAGTGGTCAACCATGACACCTATTATTCAGCTTTGGAATCACCTTATTATAAATACTAATACTCTAACGAACATTGTAAGAAGAAATTATATTTTTGTATTATTCATTTTCTTGTGACTACTTTATTACACATTTATTCAATAACTCTAATATTTTTTTTATTAATTTATTCCTTGATTAAGCCCCAACACCAAAATTGTAAACTTCCATATCATTATTTGGATATTTTGTTTAGAGTTTAGTTCTGATTTATGCTTGTAGCCTTAGGGGTAAAACCAAGTCGCAGGACATCTAGGTGGGAGGGAAGTGGGGTGGGGGGGTGGGAAGGTCATTGGGAGGGGGGTGGGCAGAGGGTGGTTGGGTGGGAAATAGGGGAGTGGGGGGGAGGGCTACCCATGTAATAAACTATTAGATATCTAGTTATATTTGAACTGATACCTACACTATTTGTGTGGAAACAATCAATTACAATTAAAAAAAAAATTCCAATTATGTCCTGGATACATCCTTGGGAAAAGACCTCCTATCAAATATACTCACCAGATATTCCAAGCCCAAGCAGCCATTTTATCCCCAGCATCCCGTGAATGTCCCGTGGAATAAGACGCTCTATTCATAAACCCTCGTCGCAGGGTCGGGTCAGGCCAGGGGGTGTCGGGTTGTCCCTGGGGTCGGGTCTGAGCAGGGGTTGGGTCTGATCTGGGGCCGGGTGGACTGTGACTGGGGACGGGTCTGTCAAGGGGTTCGGGTTCTGTGCCTGGGGTTGGGTCGTCCCTGGGGCTTGTCAGTCCCTGGGGCCCGGGGAACAGTACCTGCGGGGGTCTGTCCCTGGGCGGGTCTGACCCTTGTGCGGGGTCTGTCCCTGGGGCCGGGTCAGACCCTGGGGCCGGGATTACCTGGCCGTGGATGTCCCAAGGGGTGGGATCTGTTCATGGGCCGGGGATACTGTCAGCGGCGGGGTTGACCAGGGGCGGGTCTCGTCCTGGGGCGGGGTCAGACCAGGGTCGGGTATGACTCAGGTGGCGGGTATCAGTCTTTGGGCGGGTCTGTCTCTAGGGGCGGGACAGATCCCTAGGGGCCGGGTCAGTCCCAGGGGGCCGGTCTGTCCAGGGACCGGGGGTCAGCCCTGGGGCGGGTACAGACCTGGGGCGGGGACTGTCCCTGGGAGGGGTCAGATACTGGGGTTGGGTCAGACACTGGGACGGGTCTGTCCTGGGGAGTGACTGTCCCTGGGGCGGGTCTGTCCCTGGGACGGGTCTGTCCTGGTGGCGGGTTCTGTCCCTGGGGTCGTGAAGTCCTGGGGCCGGGAAGTCCTGGGCGGGACTTGATCTTGGGCGGTTCAGACCCTGGGGGGGGGTCTGTCCCAGGGGCGGGAAGTCCCATGGGAGGTCTGTCTCCGGGTCTGGTCTGTCCTGGGCCGGGTCAGAGCTGGGGACGAGGTCTGTCCCAGGGGTCGGGTCTAACTGACCCTGGGTGACGGGTCTAGACCTGGGGCGGGTACGTCCCTGGGGTCGGTCTGTCCATGTGGGTCGGAGACTGTCCAGGGGGGTTGTCCCAGCTTGGGGGTCTGACCCTGGGGCGGGTCTGAGCCTGGGGCGGGTCTGTCCCTGGGCCGGGTCATGACCCTAGGGGCTGTCTGTCAGGGGTCGGGCCTCCACCCTCCCACGCAACCACAATTATAATGCAAGATTCACCTAATTTATCCATGAAGAAATGCATTTTATCTTGATCCTCTAGATTAAGAGAACCGTATTAGATCAAAGTTCGGCCGGCTTTAGTTTATGATGAAACTCATACCAATTAATCTACTCTTTCCTCCACACCGTAGTAGATGTGCGAGCGAATAAAAGTCAATGATACCCCCCTCACATGGCCGAACTAAGACACCCCCAGTGCAACCTAAACACGCATGCTCCAGAACAACGCCATTCTTCCATAAGACTAAAAAATGAACACTATCAGCATTACCCTAGTGATTACTATTTGATGTTTCGGCTACCCAGGGACAGCCCCGTCCCCAGGGACCCGCCCGCCCAGGGCAGACGGCCAGGCCCGCCCGGCCAGGGCCAGACCCGGCGCAGGGCCGACGCCCCCCTGGCCGACCCCGACCCCAGGACAGCCCGCCCGGGCCAGCCCCGGCCCAGGGACAGACCCCGGCCCCAGGGACAGCCGCCCCAGGACCGCGGCCCCCGGCCCAGCCCGGCCCAGGGCACGCCCGACCCCGGGCCAGACCCGCCCCAGGGCCAGCCCGGCCCAGGGACAGACCCGGCCGGGACAGACCGGCCCCAGGGACAGACCTGGCCCCAGGGACAGACCGGCCAGGGGACCCGACCCCATGGACAGACCCGGCCCCCCGGGGACAGACCCGCCAGGGACCGCCCCGGCCCCCGGGACCCGACCGACCCCCCAGTTGACCAGCCGACCCCGAGACAGGACCCGACCCCAAGCGACCGCCCGACCGGGAAGCACCGGCCCGGGACAGCCGGCCCCGGGCCAGACCGGACCCGTGACCGACCCGGCCCAGGCAGACCGGCCCCAGGGACCGACCGGCCAGAGACAGACCCAGGCCCCAGCGCCCAGACGGCCAGAGACGCCCGCCCAGGGAAGACCCGTCCCCAGTGCCAGGCCCCGGCCCAGGGCCCGACCCGGCCGCCGGGCTCCAGCCGGCCAGAGACAGACCGTCCCCAGGGACAGACCCGGACCAGGGACAGACCGGCCCAGGGGACCGACGGCCAGGGACAGCCCGGCCTGGGACCAGACCCGGCCAGGGACCGACGGCCGCGGGACGACCGGCCCCAGGGCAGGTCACGGCCCCAGGGAACAGACCACCCAGGCAATACCCGACCCCAGGGCCAGACCCGACCCCCGACCACGACCCGGCCCCGAGCCCGACCCCCCAGGCACATACGACCCCCGGGACCGGCCCGACCCCAGGCACAGACCGACCAACGCCGAGATTATTATGAAATGATCTTCAATCGACACAGTAACATTACCATGACGCAATGGACGCCAAGGCTGCATAAGGCAATTTATACATTGATTTAACACATAATACGGAGGACTTTTCCCCCTGAGCACCAGGACATAAAATAATTCTTAATAATTATAACTTGTAACAATCTAGTATACCACACCAGAAGAGAGGACACTGTTCAAATAAAACAAGCATACCCCGATAAAAACCAAATTCTACCTCCCCTCCCACTTACCCCACCCCCCAAGATGTCCTGCGCCAGGATTTACAAGGTACAGCAGGTCACCAAGAACAAAACACACACAAAAATATCCAACATAATGATAGTCATAAACCAATAAGGATTCGGTTCATAACATGCCACAACCAAACAAAAACAAAAATACGATCAGAAAAAAAGCAAAAAAAAAGGTAGGACCCGAACCAAGGCCTAAAACAATTGAAATTCTTATTTACAATGTTCACTTAGATATACTAAGATAATTCCTCAATGTTAATCCACTCTTACATAACAAGTTAAAGGAATAACACTAATGTAATCTTTGAATACTTTTACAAGTTCCATGAACCAACTCAAAACTTTAAGCCATGTGGGCACCTTTGGCGCTGCGTTGTAGCTATCATTCTGAAACAATTTCATCTAGTTGGAGTAGTGTTGCCAAAGCAAAGCTCTTTGATGGGTACTTTTGGCCTCAAGGTAAGACACCAAAGCAAGCTCGTTCAGCACCTGGTAGTAGAGATTGTTTCCGGACTCAGGACAGAAGTTAATGATCAAGGACCAGATCGTACCAGGCGATGAGGACGGACCCACTCCTGTGGACATATTTGCGGAGACATGTTTCACTTGATACAGACAATCCCTTCACATTAGTGAACAATTTTGACAGGTTATTAGGTTGGTGCGGAACAGTAAGAGGACCATTTTAAAAATTGACATAGGTATAAGCCGGCCAACAGGATTGCTGTCATTTACCAGCTTAAAAGGCACTTCGCCCACCATCTTCCACAATCAATGTCCAATTCCCTTGTTCTATGGTGTGCGTTATTCATATATTATCCAGAGAACGTAGTAGCCTATGACATATACCCAATTACGTTTAGAGATGAGCCCTATATGAAAGGAGGGACATCCAAAATAAAATCAGATATTTTAGGGGAAGGGGCATTAGGAAGTGTTTGGCAATCTAATTTAACAACGAAACGGACAAAAAAGAACAAACACTGAGATATATGGAAAGTTTGTGTTAAAACGCCGCATCACAATAAAAATACAACAAATGTATATAATGTAGAGGTCTTTT